GTGATCTGTCAAGTCCTGGATTGAGCTCTGCAATAGAAGGGTAAAATCCGAAATGGGGATTAGGATTCAAAAACGATGTTGAGGTAATCGTTGGAATGTGTGACAAGGAGCGATTTTCTGGGAGGAAAGCATCCCCAACCTTGACCGAAACCGGAAACGACGGCATGATGAGTAGAGGTTGGTTGAGAGTTCCAATAATGAACGAAGCGTGAGACGACGAAGAAGACGTGGCGGCCACATGAAGTGCGTATTCGGTGTGGTCGACTGTTCTGACCGTTTGATGTTCTTTGCGATAATAGAAAATCTTTAAACGATTAGCGGCAACTGCTCCTCGTATTACTGTACCGTCGAGTTCCCGCAACTGGTAAGTTGTGTCACGAAGTTTGCGATGAACGATGTAAGGTCCAGTCCAGCGCAACGCTCCCTTGTTACCCATCTGAGAGTCTAACCACGTCTCGTGTAAAAGAACCCAAGTCCCTAGAAGGAAGTCACCTGAAGAAAGTTGACGTTCATGCTTACTGTTAAAGTCATCTACCGCCCGCTGGCGTACACGTTTCTGTTGCTCCATGGCTAGTACCAGCTTCTTGTCTCGACGAAGTATCTGTTGCATACGCATAGCGAGAAGGTCTTTGGTTGATGCTACGGTGTGCCAGTCAAGTGCTTCCCAAGTCCTATCTGCGATATCAAAAGAGAAAAGGGGGTGTAAGCCGTAAAGTAAAAAATAAGGGGTGTAACCAGTGACTCGAGAAGTCGAACATCGCATAGCCCAGAGTCCTGCATGGAGATAAAGTGGCCAACGATGTGTATCCTTGCCACAAGCACGAAGGATGGAATTGACGAGCGTCTGATGTGAACGTTCAGCATGACCATTTCCTTCAGGATGGTAGGGCGAAGAAACAATGACGACGATACCGTACTGCTTGAACAAAATGTCAACTGTGCCTTTAAATTCCGAACCACCATCAACAAGACAGAGAAGAACACAGCCAAAGCGAGAGTATACTTCCTCATACAGAAATTTCGCCCAAGTTTCAGAGTTCGGTTTGCGAGCTGCGCGGGCTTCCACCCATGACATCGCCGGGTCCATTGCTTGAAGTAAATATTTCATCCCGCCAACGCCGTCTGGCATGTGGATAGTATCCAGGTCGAAGCGTCGCAAAATCCAGTACTTTATTGTGCCCTACCTATTCCTGTCGGACTCCGGTCATTCCTGCGGATTCCGGTGGAATGGGACCGGACTCCGGCGGAATCCGCAGGAATGGGACTGGAATCCAGTGGAATCCAGCGGAGTCCTGCGGAATCCAGCGGAATCCAGTGGATTCCAGTTGAATAAGACCACAATCCACCATAAATAGCAGTACTTTACCCTCTCCCACATGCTCTGATCAGAGTATCTACAATCAGAATGGATCAGCACTGATCTAGAGGTCAGGTGACTTAATCTGCATTGATTCAACTCAATACTCAGAATTTCTTATAAAATTCACTTCTAGTCAAGTCATTCATCTCAATAAATCAAATTTTAATGTGTTTTATTAATGACATGAGTCTATTTTACTACATACAGTGCATATTAAAGAAGGGGATGGATAAGGGGCAGGGACAAGGAAATGGGGAGGGACAGGGAAGGGGGCAGGGAAAAGGAAGGGGGCAGAGACAATGAAATGGGGGAAGGAGGTAGGGACAAGGAAATGGGGAGGGACAGACAGGAAAGGGGGGAGGGAAAAGGGGGTACATGGAAATGGGGAGGGACAGGGAAGGGGGATGGGAGTACATGGAAATGGGGAGGGACAGGGAAGAGGGGCAGGAAAAGGAAGGGAGGGACAGGGAAGGGGGAGGGACAATGCACTCGTCGTCGTCGTGTGATGTCGTGGTGGCTGTTAGCGAGATGGGATAGGATGAAGGAGAGTCAGGGGACTCACCTTTGTGTGAACGACGAACGACGACGTCGTCGTCGTCGTTCGTCGTTTGGTTGCCACATCGCTGACAGCGACGTGGCACCTTGGTTTCCCATCGGCGGGGGCACGTCGTCGTGCGTTGACGTGGGTGTCCGTTGGCGTGGTCATCGTCCATTGACGTGGTGGTGGTGCGTTGACGTGGTCGTCCGCTGGCGTGGTCGTCGTCCGTTGAGGTGGTGGTGCGTTGACGTGGTCGTCCGCTGGCGTGGTCGTCGTCCGCTGGCGTGGTCGTCGTCCGCTGGCGTGGTCGTCGTCCGCTGGCGTGGTCGTGGTCCGTTGACGTGGTCGTGGTCCATTGACGTGGGCGTCCGTTGGCGTTTGACGTGGGCGTCCGTTGACGTCGTGGGGCGTGTCGTGGTTCGTGGGCGTGGTCATGGTCGTCGTGGTCGTCCCTCGTGGTCCGTTTTCGTCCCTCGCCGGGGCTCGTTTGCTTGCTGACGTGGCGTTGCCGCGTTGTTGATGTGGTCGTTGTTGGCGGTCGACGAGTGGTGGCCACAGCTGACCGTGGTGACGTGGCGTGGGTGGGTAGCGGGCGCGCGTTTACGAGGAGCGGGGACGTTGGTGGTGGTGGGAGGAGAGGTTAGTGGTGGTGGGAGAGAAGAGGGTTGTATTTGGATGAGCGTGAAAGCCGTTGCCAAACAAACAATTGTTTGGCAATGGGCTTGTGCCAAACAAACCGGATTCCGGTTGCATTCCGTTTTTGCCAATCCGGGGACCATTCCGGTCACAATTCCGGAATGCCGAAATTCCGCTGGAATGGTAAAGCACCGGAATGGAGAAAATAGCAGGCCTCTCTGCTAAATTTCACTCCTCCGGAATCCACCGGAATCCACAGGAATGACCGGAATCCTACAGGAATTAGGGGGGCACTGATAAGACCTCCCTTGTGCCTCTCATAGGGAATACGGAAGATTTCGCGATGGCGACGACACATTCCTCCAGCATCCGAAGATCGTGTGACATGACGGTGAGGGACTGAGGAAGAATCGTGCAGAAGGGGGGGATCATATTAGGGTCCGACTGGGTGCTCTGATCGAGTTGAAAATACCATTCCGGTGCGCCTCCTGGGGGCAAAGGGAGGTATGGTCACCAGCTCGCTTCAGGATCGAACCAATCCGCGTCTAATGCCCACTCCATGTCGAGGAAAAGGCCTGTGGGTCCCTTGGGCCTGAAATCGTCCGCCATCCTCTGCGTCCTATGGTGATCGACGAAGGCGGCGGCCTCTAGAGGTATGGAGTCGCAGGCCGCGTTGAGGCCAATCCACTGATCGTTGCCGATGGTTCTAAAGTCCACGGTAGGGACCGTTCCCGAATGATCTAAAGGTAAATAATCCATGACCCTTCGCTCTAGACGGAAATCCGAAAAGAACTTAGCAGTCCTGCGAACAAGCCAGTAGCAGGAAATCCGGCGCTCTGTACCCTTTCGCAGTGGAAAGCAAGAAAAGAAAGTAAAGAAAATGGGAAGTAATAAAGAAAGAAGGGAAGAGGTATCATGTGATTGCTTACGAAATGAAATCAAAAAAGGGTTTGCATAATTGTCCATTAAGGGCGATGGACACGCCTCGAGAGCGTTTAGATCTCTTAGAGCCCGTGTAGCCTCCTGTACTCATTTAGTACGATGGAGGCATTCCGTAGTCCCTTTTGCGGCTCCCATGTATCGAACTGAGGGCCGTAACCCAGCCACTGCACGAGGTACTGAAGAACTTTCCCTTTGCGCCGATGGCCGACTATTGACTCAACCTCGTATTCCTCAGATTCCTTCTGTGGGCGCCGTGACTCTGGCATAACCGTACGTTCCCCCCATTCAGCCGATGATTCGTCATATTTCCTCAAATGCTGTATGTTGAAGACTGGATGACCTGGGTACTTGTCGCTCATGCGCAGTCGGAACACATTCGGATTGATTCTCTGGGTGATCTCGAATGGGCCCATCCAACGTTGTTTTAGCTTCTTGCCTACGCCCTTCGCATTGATCCAGTCCAGAGAGTGAGGGTTCAGGAGAACTCTGTCCCCTTTCTTGAAGTCAGGTACTGGCCGGCGTCCTCTGTTGAACTGTTGCATCTGTTCATCTTGTGCCTTCGCTATTGCTCTGCGAGCGCTTTCCCTGTGCATGGTAAGAGTCTGCAGGAAGTTCTCGGATTCCGGGGAAAGAGAGTATGACACCTCGCTCTTCTCCCTCATGCCGCTCGGAAGCAGGAAGTCGAGGGGCATCCTTGGCTGGAAGCCATAGACCAGGAAATTTGGAGATGTCCCCGTAGAAGTGTGCATGGAGTTATTGTAGGCAAATTCCAAAATGTGCAACCACGTTGACCAATCTGATAGATCTTCGGAGACGTACGCTCTGAGCATGGTCGCCAATAGCTTGTTCAAGATCTCCGTTTGACCATCATGCTGTGGATGGTGGGCCGAAGACAACGCCATTCTTGTTTTCAGGAAGCTGGCGACGCCTCTCCAGAAGTCTGATGTCCAACGGGGATCCCGGTCAGTGATAATACTATCGGGTAGTCCGAATCTGCAAATAATGTGCTTGACAAATAGCTCTGCAAATTCCTTTGCTGTGAGCCCTGTGGTGCAGGGTATGTGTGAGGGTTCAACTGCGTCTAACGTCGTGTATCCCGAAAGTCTGATGGTCTGAGGTGTGGAGACCCGAGGTGGGGTCGAGCTCTATCTCGGAACAGCCGGTCGTAAACACGTATCGATGTCTACGTCGACCGCAGACTCAATACCTGTTAGCCCTCGTCAAGTCAACCTTTCTGAGGGAACCGATTGCTCCGAACAACGCAAATCACCTAATACAGGGTTTAGAGGACTGTTAGTACAGTAGCTCGTATCCTGATGGATAGGTAGATGTGGTGAAGAAGAGATATCATATTTTCTGTAGTAATCAGTGAACTATGTACAACGTGAGAACTGATGACTAAAGAAATAAGGTTTCAAAATAAGGTGCAAGTGGAAAGTGCCGTGTACTCTACGATGGATGAGGGAGTCGAACGAATGAGTATCCATGGTATGTCACATAGCCCCCCCACTGTGCACTTGCGTCTTAGAGAACAAGGTGTTCGGGGACTCTGATTGACTTCAAAAGCATGCGATCCCAGGTCCTAGGCAGGTGTGCACGCCATATGACTCGTCGTGCATCCTCGACGTCTGTATCGGTGAACTTTGGGTTGATAGGTTTTGGTAGTCGGTTATAGTTTCGTAAGTGGCTGCTCCACCAGCTCCATTCCCGAGGTTCAGCTTTGCCTTTCTCAATGTCGTCGGCTATGCGTGCGAATATCTTGTCCATGACCTCGTTCCAGTCTCCGTTCCAGTGGTCGCACAGCTCCCTCAGGTAGTGTGGGGGAGGGAAGAGATAGCGTTCAGGGGAAGATGAGTCCTGACTGGGTATGAACCCAAAGAGGAAGGATCCTTCTTGTGCTGAGACCTGGTCCCACTGTAATCCTATGGGGTTTTCTTCATGAGAGTCCGATCTTCCGAGTAGGTGTCTGGTAACCTGAATAGAGGGTTCTGACAAAAAGGCTTTGACGAGTGAAGGCCCTCCGAATCGTTCTGCAATCCAACTGTACGGCCCTCCCATGCCTATGAAGGCTCGCGCATGCGGTCGACGAAGGATGTCGTTGATCTTTGCTAAGTAGGCGTTGGCGAAGACAGCTGGTGTTCCTTTCGTGTAGGAGAAAGATGGCTCGGTAAAACCGGGTTGATAGAGGGATTTGATGCCCATCCGATCGAGGCCTGATACTTCCACTGGGGCGAAAAGGTTCACCTCCGAGACCCGTATGGCTAGGGAGAACTCTAGCCGATGGACGACTGCTATATCTATGACTTGACGGATACTGGAGACTTCCGGGCGGCAACTAGCGTAATAGCGCATGCGAGCTTGTGACTTCCAATCCGGTATGCATAAGAAGGCATGTTGGTAGATGAGGTTGCTCTTTTGGTCCGAGGTAGCGAGTAGCGCTAACTTCTCCGGCCTCTCTTTCCATGTAAACCTAGCCATGGCGTCTGATAGCGCTAACCTGAAGGATTCGGATGGCTCAGTTGAATGACGGTCATGGCGTGGTCCGGGTGACTTAGAACGTTGGCGACTCTGGGAGCTACGACTCCTGGAGGTGCCCCTGGAGTCAGATTCTGACGACTCCACTCGTGATACCTGACGAACGGGAATCCTCCTCATGGTTGGGTTCTGATGGGTCATTCGAGCTAGGAGACTCAGGGTGTCGTTGGTGGAAGCGCTGTTGGGAGAGGAGCTCTCTGCCCAACGGTTGTCGGAGAGGCGGCTGCTCAAGGATGGTAAACTCGATTTGAGGGGGGCCTGACATATAGAGGTGGAACTCCGCCCGTCCGAAGAGGGTTGTAGAGGAGTGCCCAGTTCGGAGTGGAAAAGGCGAGAGGGAGTAGGGGCAAAGACTCCTTTAAATCGTTCCCTGATCATCACTGGATCATCGGCCCAACGGTCCCATAAGAAATGCCCGCGTTGTTGGTCAAGCGATACCTTGGGTCGGAAACGCCAAAAGATGACGTGAGGGGAGCCGTCCACGTCGCCTACGACTGTGAAGTGGAAGCAGGTGGAGAAATATCTACATTCCCTGTCGGAAAAAACTTTGCGACAACCCCATCCTTCAAAGTCGATGACGAAGAACGAGGAGTTCGACTCGTAAGACATGTGATCATTCGTGACTTCGGGTTTCAGGAGTTGGAAGAAATCGTCGTATTGGTGTGTCATCTTCTCTGCTTCCCCCAAGTCGTCTTCGTAGTCGATGTCATGAATGACAACTTCGTCCCCGTCTGGTCCGGCGTAGGAGGCAAGGACTTTGGGATTGAGGCGGCAGAATCTTTCGTTGAGGCGAGCTTCTAAGGAAAAAGTGTAGTAAAAAGGCACATGTCGCGTCAAGAGAAAAGGCACGTTCAGCTCACGCCAGTCGGTCAAAAGGTCGAATAAAAAACCCCTAGGGTCCCTCCCTTTCGATATGAGATGTTCGACCCTCTCAGCTGTGACTATATCGACTCCTACTGACCAATCCTCGCAAGTGGCGGTCCACCAGGCAAAGAATGCGATGCGGTCCCAGGCTGCCCTCTTTGCTGCAGCTCCTTCCGATTGTAAGGTGATGATGGATGGGAACGTGGCTTGTAATCGGTCGCGGTCGTAGGCGGGGGGTGTGGGAGAACCTTCGAGGAATTGTCTTGTGGTAACGATCTCCCCCAAACAGCTGTCGAGGAATGTTAATTCGTTGATGACGCTGTTCTGTTGATGCTCAGCAAAGGAATAGCCGTCCTGTACCGCACAGTATGCTACCGGGGTGTCCATGTCGAAATACCAAGGACTGTCGACCGAACTAGGTGTATCCATCCAGGTGGGACCAAAACTGCGCCAATGTGTGTCATGGCGATACCAGTCGGGATCTTTGGTCCATTCTAACGCTCCGTATTTCCCGGAGGAAGTTATTTCCACTGCCCCCCAGTCGATGGCGTCGATATCCTTCCATGCTCGGGCTCCTGGTGGGACTTTCCTGGTGTCAGCGTTCAATCCGATCCAATCAGCCCAATCGTGATTGTAAAGTGATACCTCTGGGGCTCTACCGTCATTATCAAGGTAGAAGTTAGCAGACGACATCTTTCCACAGCGTCAACCGCTTGGACCGATCGTGCAGAATTCCCTTCCTGGTCAACCCAAGGTCAGGAGAAGTGGAGGGTAGAAAAGTCGAAGTACGACCGAAGGAACAAAAACAAAAACAAAAGAGACAGTATGGAGAATGGTAGTCATCAAGACCCTTTTTGATGTGACAGGAACCGTCACAATCTGTGACCATAAGGGATTGACTAAACCTGAATGAACGATGTCGTCGTCCACAAAGAAAAAGAGAATGAATGCAAAAAATAGAAATATGTAGAGAATGGAATGTCCAAATTTGAAACGGAGGAGTGTAAAAATACAAAGATGAGCAGAAAAGAAAAGGAAAGCGGAAATGCACGTCTGGACGCACGCCGCTGATCTCGCGACGATTGAAATCAGAGGTTGTGGTGCTTCCTATATTCTCTAAGAATATCGGAAGCGTTGCGTAGGTCACGCGCAGTGAGCCATTCGTCGAATTGAGGCCCGTAACCCACCCAGCGGACAAGGTATTTCAGCGTCTTCGCTTTTCCTACGTTTTTGTGGCCCAATATTGACTCCACTTCATATTCCTTGGATTCCTCCTTCCGTAATGTCGAGTCGGGTATGGTGGTTCTCCCCTCCTCGGTAGGTTCATGATAAGCCTTGAGGTGCTCGATATTAAACACAGGTGATCCAGGGTATTTATCCGGTAGGCGTAGGCGGTAAACCTTGGGGTTGACGCATTCTGTGATTTCAAAGGGGCCGATCCATCTTGGTCCAAGCTTCACTCCCTCGCCTTTAGATTCGATCCACTCTAGTGAGTGCGGGTTGACGAGGACCCTGCTCCCTAGACGAAATGTTGGCGCTGGCTTCCTTCCTTTGTTGTACCTTTTAGCCTGTTCGTGTTGAGCCAAAGCGATCGCCTGTCTTGCGCTATCCCTGTGCATGGCCACTTTACTCAGGTAATCGCTTGCTGTCCTATCGACGCTGTCGTCTCGAGTGGGAGCGGAAAATTTTGGCAGGAGGTCTAGTGTAGAGCGAGGTTGAAAACCCAGGAGGTTGAGGAATGGGGTAGTGCCGGTAGAGGAATGTTGTGCTGAGTTGTAAGCGAATTCCAATAAGTGCAACCACTCTGCCCAGTTGTTACGGTCGTCGTTGACATATGCTCTGAGCATCGTCTCCAACAATCGATTGAGAACTTCTGTCTGTCCGTCGTGTTGTGGGTGGTGTGATGAGGATAGCAACATTCTCGTTTTAATCTCTTGAGCAACTTCCTTCCAGAAGTCTGATGTCCAACGTGGGTCCCTGTCGCTGATGACGCTTTCTGGGATGCCGTACTTGCAAATTATATATCTGGTGAAAAGTCGAGCGAATTCTTTTGTAGTGATACCCGTGGATGTTGGAATGAAGTTGGCGTGTTTCGTTAAACGGTCCACGACTACGAAAATGGCGTTAAATTCTCTGCACATGGGCAAGTTAACTATAAAGTCCATGGAGATTGAAGAGTAGGGTCGAGTTGGGATTGGGTTGGGGATTAGATATCCGTAACGGTTGAAATTAGAAGGTTTCGTTTTCTGGCAAACACCACAAGTTTCGCAAAAACGGACAACATCGGCTTTCATTCTTTTCCAGTAAAACCTAGGGCTCAGGCGGTGCCACAACTTTTCAGCGCCCATGTGTGCGGTTTCGAAGGGACTCTCGTGAGCTTCTGTCAATATGTCCAGCCTCAACGCTTTAGGAACACAGAGCCTTGGGTGGTAATCAGCATCGCGGAAGTATAACATTCCGTCCAAGTCTTTGAAAAATTGGAATCCGGGCTCCCATGCACCAACTTCGGATCGTTTGTCCTCCCATATCGTACATAACGTAGGGTCTTCCATATAGCTTTGTATCCATTTTTCCCTAACTACGTTGTGGAAGTGCGCATTGTTCCACTCACGACGCCCTCTTTATTTCGAGTTTTAACTTTTATTTTATTTTATTTCTATTTTTCTGTTTTTATTTTATTTTACCCGATTTCCTTTACTAAAAGTCGAGAGAATGCGAGACGATGTGTGTAACCAGGAAATACGCCAGAAGACATCGATTCAAGAAGACCGGTGGCTGTGCCTCTTCCAGCTATTTGTGTCGGCTCTCACAGTTTCGAAGGAATGGGATTTGGGATTTTAAATTGGGTCACGTACTTTTTCTTTTGACTCTTTCGCTTTTATTTGTTGTGTCTTTGTTTTTTTTATCTTTTCTTCAACAGATCCTTTTCCGCTTGGAGCTTCTCTTGAGGGTTGGACGGTAGGGTTGAGCATCGACGTTGGGGACGTCTGCACTGAGGGCAGCAGTGACGCACGGAAATAGACCTCTCCCCACGTCGTTAGTTCCCCGAGTCATTCCCAACCTGAAGGATTAGCCGAGAGAGGAAGCAGGTGACGATAGAATCATTTATTTTTGGCTCGTTTTTATTTTTAGAACCTTCTTTTTATTTTGGTCAGGCAGCACGCGAGTACGTGCGATGTCTTGTGATTTTTGTATTTCATATAAAGGTGACCTCCCACCTGTCGAATGGAGCATCCTCCCTTTTTCCCTCAAAAATTCCCTTCTCAAGATTTTTAAGTATTCAAAGTTTTTACGCACGCCATCATCTTGTCGGCCCTGTTAACGACGACGTTCTTCAAGATGACTTTACAAGCTTTCATAACACCCACGCCACGCATTTAGTCGACTCTACACGTACTCTCACGGCTGTCTCCAACGACCTTGACACAACGCGCGCTTGATAAGGTCGCGACTAGCAATCTCACGCTGTTCACGCTAAGTTTCTCACACTCCATTCCTTTGTCCGTATTCACCACTTCCTTTCTTTCTCCCCGCTTTTCGAGGTTGGCGACCGATTACTGTCTCCTGTGTAGAACCTTTGTTTTTCCACAGTGGTGACCGAGACAGGGGATCGGTATTCCGTTCGACCTCCTCCTCCGAGTATTGAAAACTCATTTGATGCATATAATTACAAAAATCTCCTGATTCGCACTTTTGGTACGTTCAACTTTCTCGATTGCGCGCTGATTACTCGGTTTTCAGACGCATATAATTACAAAAATCTCCTGATTCGCACTTTTGGTACATTCAACTTTCTCGATTGCGCGCTGATTACTCGGCTATCAGACGTATACATCCCTTTCGCATCCCTTGAAACGGGTCGCTTCTCTTCTCCAAGAAAAGTCAAGAACGGAACCTTTGACGCTAAGTTTTACCTATCGTTGATTCCATTTTCCTTCGCTTCTTTTGTTTGATTTCAATGCCTGAATCTTCGATGGCCGATTTGCCATTGGCGCCGTCCTCTTCAGAATCGAGTATCGTTACGACGCTCGGGATTCCGATGCCCACTCCAGGCACTCCTACCGCTCCTTATTTCAAAGGAAAGCGCGTAGAGGATTTTCTAGACTCGCTTGAGCAGCATGCAGATAGTGCGCGAGTTGCGCATACACAGCTCCCCGGTTACGTACTTCGTTATTGTCACACGAAAGTGCAGATTGTTATTGAAGGTTCAGCCGTTTGGGCTGGTGATGATTGGGTTAAGGCAAGAACTTTTCTAGCTGACCTTTATAGCTCGAACGACGCGATTCCTGTAAACTCACCCGACCGACTTCGGCAGTGGAGTTTGAAGCACGGTGAATCAGGGATAATGCTCTCTCAAAGAGACGTGGATAAGTATTACAGAGAATTCACGGTGCTTTCTTCAGGCCTTGCTCCTTCACGCATGCTAGAAACTGAAGTGTCTCTTTGTTTTTATAGAGGGATTCCGTCAACGCTTCGTATGAAAGTTAAAAAACGAATCCCAGCAGCAAATTTGAAGACATCGTCACCCCTGTCCATTCCTTCTTTGCTAGGATGGCTTAGAGCGGAGTTCGACGAAGAGGATCTAGACGCGAAAATCGGTCCGGTAAGCTTAGACTTAGATTCGGACTCTGATACGAGTTCTAGTGAATCCGACGACGACATCGACAAAGCTCCAGTTGTGAAGAAGAAGAAAAACCCTGCTAAGAAGGTTGCGTTCGAGAAAACTGTTCCGGCGGCTCCTATTGTGGAACCAATAGGCATAAGTTCGGTTGATCGACTTACAAAACAAATGGAGGATCTCAGGCTGGCACATGCTGAGTTTTTGCGCTCTGTCCATATAACTCCAAACGCTAATTTGACTAATCAGCAAATTATGAGGGAAGCAAGATGTTTCTTTTGTGACAAGACTACACATCGGCTTGGCCTCAAGTTTTGCCCTGAAGTCGAGATATGTATCAAGGAAGGTTTAGTTGCTTACACCCCTCTAGGTAGGTTGGCGCGCACTGACGGATCGGAACTTCCTCGATCTTTTGGAAGTGATGGAGGCGTTGCGAAGGTCCTTCGAGAACAACAGGCTGCGTCTAGCCATTTAAAAGGTAAAGGCCGGGAGGTCACAAGAGACCTACCTCCCCATATGGCCAATTACGCCGGTCTTCTTTTTGATGGACAAGAGGTTTTGGAGTCAGAGGTCTTTAACGGGTCCTCTACTTCGGTTGTTCCAGCATGGCGTGCGCGACCTTCTTCAGCTTTAGCGGTTACGCGTTCTCAAAAAGACAAAGAAGCAAGATTCGATCCTATTAAACGTCCTGAAAAGAAAGATACTGAAGCTAAGTCTTTTTCTAAACCTCAAGAGCACAAAAATCGTCCTCCAACTCCAACCCTCAGTAATTTGGGACCTCCTCCAAGCGTTTCAAGACCTCCAATTGCCCCTGTACAGTCAACACCTCAAGCTTTTAATCTACGACCTCCCAAGGTGAACACAGAAGATGCGTTTAAGAATCGTCGTGCCGCGCCTACCAAAAATAAGGATGTAGAAATGAAGGAGGCGTCCTCAAAAGCTAAGCCAACCTCAGTGTATCATTTTACATCTGACATACAAGAGATGTATGATCTAGATAAGATTGTACGCGAAAAGGTCAATAAGACGGTAGTTCAACTCGAACTCGGGGAATTGCTTGCGCTTTCGGTGTTCT